GGGAGGAGGGAGGAGGGGAGATCTCGCTCTCGCTCTCGCTCTCGCCCCGCGGGAAGGGGGAGGCGGAGACGCGACCGGCTGCGGGAGCTGCAATTACCGTGTGGGCTGCGGAATTCTCGTGGTGTTTGTCGGGGAGATGCGATAATGGCGTCCGTCCTCGCGAGAGAAGCCGCCGCTCTGCGCAGGCGCCGCGAGTCCCTCCCCGCGGCCCACCGCCCTGCATCGTCTGCGCAGGCTCCCCAAGTGGGGCGCGCCAGGCGCGGGGACGGAGCGAGGGGGCGGGGCCTGCCGCTCCAGGCCTCCCGCGCGCGCCTTCGCCCGCGCCGGCGAGCGCCGAGCATGCGCACGCGTCTTCCTGCAGCGCCACCGTTGGGGCCTCTCAGGATCTTTACTTCCCCGGCGTGAGCTCCGTCTCCTCGTTAGCCCAGTGAGAAGTCGCGTCGGTGGACCGTGAGAGGAACGCACATTTCTTCCGAGGCTGAATTAATAGGAATTAGCTCCCCGCGACGACTACATATCCCGGAGGGCCCTGCGCGAGCTGCGAGCGGTGCTTTCCGGGAATCGTAGTCCTTGCGTGTGCTCCAGGCCTGCCGGTACTTGTAGTCTCTCCGTACTCTGGTCTCCCGTCGGCGCCCGCGCCCGCAGCTGCTGGGACTTGTAGTTGGGAGGCAGGGGCCGCCGCTGGGGCCCCAGAGGGGTTCCCCCAGTACTAGCTGGTGCTCGGGTCCCCGGCGTCTGTCGGGACAAATGTGTATTAGTGGTGTGGCGTGTTCCATGTGGAACGAGTGTGGTACGGGCATACGTAATGTGTAGGTTGTGTTCTGCATCAACATACAGTATGGATGTGTTACACGCATGTGGCGTAGGTGCGTGTTTGTTGGGACTCGTAGGAAAAAAAATCACTGGCTGTGGACAATTCCCGGAAATGTTACTCCTGTTTACTGGAGTACCGCTGTTGTTCTTCAGGTATGCTGGGATTCCCCTGCTTTTTAGTTTTCTTCTTTATACTAGTCTGTTTTTCTGAATTGTTTACAACGAGCAAGAATTCCTTCGATCATCCAAAAACAAGACTATGGAGCTATTTTCATTTGGAAAAGAAAATGCTTTACTGTTTGCGTAAGTTTCCTGCCCACTTCCCTTTTTGCCAATGATAAAAACCTGATTCAGGGCAGTGAGGAGCTGTGTGACCTTGGGCAACCTTGCTAGTTAGAGTTTCTTTCAGAATTAACACGTGGGGGATCCACTGAGGCAGGTCATTCATTGGGTTAGCTTTGCAGGAAAGCTGTCTTAAAGAAAAGATAATTCGCACTGAAATGAGAATTGTCCTGCGTAGAGATGAGGGAAAATTGCTCAACGAGGTCACACTGCTAGAAAAAGGCAAAAGCCGGGTTTGGAATTCAAAACACTCTGGTTTAGAGTGCTCATAGTGGGGAAAGGGGCGTCAGAAGCTAACCACACAAGTCCTGAGAGCTGATTAGGGGCAAAACAGTTTCAGAGAGCCATGTCTTCTATTCCCACCTCTGCCTCAACCATAGCCAATCTAAACACTTAACTAAGAATTCTTACCATGGACACCTAAATATCTGAGTACAAAGCAGATAAATGTAGACTGAAATTTTTCATATTATTTCAAAACATCACAAAGTCCTTGTCTGCAGCTCCGTTGCAGGTGTGGGTTGCTGGCTCCTTTCTGGCCAGGCCTTGCACACTGCTGGGCTCCAAGCTGCTGCTAAGTCATCATCAGAAATTAAGCCAATCAAAATTATAACTGTGCTTATGCCAGAGTCATGGATTTCTCTTTTTTGTTTTTGATGATTCAGATTTATTTATTTTTTATTTTGCTGCCCAGGAAGTTCAAATAGAGGAAAGTGTTACTCAGTATCAATATCTAGCTGATGAACCATGGTTTTAAAAATAATTAAATAGCTGGAAATTGGCAAAGACAACTGTCTACCAATGAAGGGTTGCTTCTTCATTGCAGAGGGCCCTCCTCCTTGCCAGTCAATTCATACAAGAATCCAGTCCAGGGGAGTCTGGGTGGTTCAGTCAGTTAAGCATCTGACTCTTGAGTTCAGCTCACATCATGATCTCAGGGCATGCAATTGAGTCCCACATCAGGCTCCATGGAGGGTGTGGAGCCTGCTTAGGATTCTTCCTCTCCCACTCCCTCTGCCCCTTCTCTCTCTTTCTCTCTCTCTGTCTGTCTCTCTCTCTCAAAATAATAATAATAATAATAATCCAGTTCAGGTTCTGGAGTTAATGAGGCTAGTGCCATGTTAGGCTTTATGAGAAGAGAGGGAGGTGCACTCTGGCCTGAATGGCACCAGAAATGGGGGACCCCTTCCATGTGTGTGCACTGGGCATTTGCAAAGATCTCAAAGGCCCCTTCTTCAAAGCTGTGTGTTGCCCACTTCAAGCAAATCCTGGAATTCTGCAGAAAGGTCCTGTTCCTGAAGATGTCCCTAGGATAGAGAGAAGTCAATTATTCACGAAACTCCCAGGTGCCCAAGAAAAGCTTAGAAAACAGTACTGTTGTCTGCAAGAGCAGGGACATAGAGTTGGCCTGACCTGGGCTTGGAATCCAAGCTCTCCTGTGGCAAACTACACTGGTGAGGCCTTGTGAGCCTCAACTGTCTCTGGAAACTGGCATTTCAAACTCACAGCTCATGGGGATATTGGGAGGATTCAATGAAGTAGACTTTGTAAAGGGTTTAGCAGAAGGTCTGACTCAAGAAACAATCATATTACCATGTGTTATGTTGCCATGCCTTGAGCTAGGCACATATTACAATCCCTGGTCTTGGTGAAGAACATGAAGTTCAGAAAGGTTACGCAACACATCCAGGGTCACACAGCCAAAGCAGTGCTAGAGCCTTGAAGAGAAATGTTGTGAGGTATGGCGGGAAAGGTAGTTAGGATGTGGGCCGTGCAGGTTCTTGTTGGCCAAGGGACGAGTTTTGTTTTGATCCTAAAATAATGGAAAACCTTTATAAGGTTTGTGACAAGGGTAGATATGATCAAATTTGCATCTGCAAAAGTCACTCTAGCTAGAATGTTGAAAAATGAATTGGGGGGTGGGGAGGAAGGTTCCTAGGTGGATTTGGGGAGAGCACTTGAGGAGGCTGTGGCAGGGGTCCTGGCAAGAGATGATAAAGGCCTGAACTAGGGTGGTCACAGTGGAGACTGAGTGCAGAGAAGTGGATAGTATCAAGAGATATCATGGGATAAAATCAACAGGACTTGACCATAAACCCGATACGGGGGGCAGAGGTAAGGGAGAGGGGCATCTGGGATGCCACCTGGGCCTGCAAATATGGAAAACCAGATGGAAGTACCATTCCCTGAAATGGGGAACTCTAGGCACTACCAGCCACTGGCCACCACCCATGACTTTGGAGACTACCCTGAACAGTGCTCTTTGTAATTGTCCACCTAAGGGAGACATTCTGTAATTCCTCTCCTACTCCAGGACACAAAAGCACCTGCTGGCAAGAGATCAAGTTTGGGGATGAACTGGAGTCCTGGGAAATAGAGCCCATAGGATCATTCAGGGGAAATGGAAAGAAGTAGCCCTCAGCTTCCACTGTAGCCTCATCTCCCACGGGCATGGATCCCACCACAGCCACACGTTCTGGTCCATCAAGAGATCTGAGGACCAGGGAGTCTGTCAGCAATGTGGTAGAGTAGGAGGTTTCCCATCCCATCCCCCCCTCAGCAACAATAATTTAAGAGCCATCTATGGCTGAAGCCCTCCTGGAGCAGCCCTGAGACCCAGCTGTAGCCACTTGTAACCATTACAGAAACAGTCCCACCCACCCAGGAACACAGAGGGAAACATACCCACCCATAATGTGATACACTACATCGATAAGATGAAAACCATATGATCATCTCAATAGAGGCAGAAAAATCATTTGACAAAATTCAACATCTTTTTTTTTAAAAAAAGATTTATTTATTTATTTGAGAGAGAGAATGAGAGACAGAGAGCACGAGAGGGAAGAGGGTCAGAGGGAGAAGCAGACCCCCTGCCGAGCAGGGAGCCCGATGCGGGACTCGATCCCGGGACTCCAGGATCATGACCTGAGCCGAAGGCAGTCGCTTAACCAACTGAGCCACCCAGGCGCCCCATCAACATCCTTTTTGATAAAAACTCTCAACATAATAAAGGCCATGTATGACAAGCTCACAGCTGACATCACACTCCATGGTGACAGGTTGAAAGGTTTAACTCTGAGATCAAAAACAAGACAAGGGTGCCCATTCCACAGAGTCCCAGAAGTCCTAGCCAGGGAAATTAGGCAAGAAAATGAAGCAAAAGTCCTCCAAATCAGAAATCAGAAAGGAAGAAGTAAATTGTCTCAGTTTGCAAATAACATGATCTTACACATAGAAAACCCTGAAGACTCCACCAAAAAAACTGTCAGAACTTACAAACAACATGTAAAAATCTATATGCTAACAAAGAATGATCTGACAAAGAAATGAGGAAAACAATCCCATTTACAATAGCATCAAAATAATAAAATAGTTAAGAATAAGTTTAACCGGGCGCCTGG